ACATTTTTTTCAGAGGGAACATGATGATAATCCATTGGAATTGGGGGTGCTCTATTTTCAGACAAACCCAGATGTTGGTTCCATTCAGGCCGCAGCCTGCTGCGCAAGGCCATGCCATGTTTCTGGGCCAAGTTGAATGTGGACCTCACTGATGGTTAGGACGGTTAGGATTGGGATTATAAGATCCCAAAGATATGAATAAGCATGGCTTGTGTATGCTTGTGTTTGATGTGTGAAGTATGTGAAGTACTGCACTTTGTCTTGATGTCTGTTTCAGGAAAACAGGTCTCCTTATGCCCGTTTCCAAATTGCAGGGATTCCTCCTCGAGAAAAAACCACCTCAAACCAGCTTCGGGCCATCTTTGTGATATATAAATAGACTTTGGTATTGTTTCTCAAACATATGCATATACATAGTCACACATTTTTGACCCAGAAGATGATTTGGCGTTTGCTTTTGAAGGAATCCGGAGATATTTGAGGCTTTTAGACCATGGCAACGTGGCCAGCCCAATACCATAGGTCCCCCAAAGTGGCTTGTTACTGTGGTAAAGCAAAAACAATACACAATCCCTGATTCCCACTTGGGGGGTCATTTTACATCATCCCAACTGGGGGTATACCAAGTCGGGACGGTTTCTTATTAGGTTTACCTTTCTCATACCATAATTATCCTCTTAATCGAATTTAATCCACAGTTTTTTCCGTTTCTTTCCTGGTCAACTCTATTTTCCAGGGTTAAACCCTCTTTCAGTATTGGGGTTACCCACATCACACATGGGCGCTTGGTCCTGAAAAGCTGTGCTGAGGGGCACCCCGGGTCCAGATGACATGCTCTTCGATCTGATCGGGCCTTAGTTCTGCTTTAGCTTTGTGTGGTTTTGAGGTTTCAAACCTTTGCCAATCTGGTACACTCAAGAGTGCACCTCAAATATTTGGAGAATGTTGGAGAGTTACAAGTTATACCACCCATTTCTGGTGAAATTGCGGCTGACTTTCTTGTTGGGTTTGCCACATTGCCTCGGGTCACCGCGTTGACGAATATGGATTGGGCTGGAACTGCAGCAGCCGAATCTCACCTGGTTACTGGTTGGCAGGATACAATCAAAGAATAGGTTGAATAGGGGCTGGATATACAATTACAATCAATTACAGTACAAAACCAGATGCAGAAAAGGATAGAACAGGTGTTTCTTGCAGATCATTTCCACAGTTTTCCACAGTTTTCCCATTCCCCTTCTGTCTCTAATCCTTCTGGGCTGTCGTCCAGCGTCACCGCCAGGGGCGCGAGGATCCAAGCCCTGGAAGAGGAGAACAAAGCGCTGCGCGCGGAGAACAATGACTTGCGACGCCAGCTTCAGGCACGATTTTCGCCATGCGCTTCCGGGAACCAGGGATTTGGGCGACTTTGGTTTTATGCCTGTTACATCCTGTTACCATCATGACTATTATCATTGTTACTCTGCTATGATTATGCAAATTATGCAATTATTATTTCTGCGTTTATTGTTTTGGTTTTTGTTTGCTTATTTTGTTGAGGGCACCCAACTTTGACCAATACCGTCATAGGCATAGGCGCACAGTGGATTTCTAGGTGCTGAACGCCAAACTGATTCCTAACAACTGTCCCATTTCGACAAAAGCTCGTCATTTTTGGGGTTTCACCGCGCACTTTGGGTGGTAAATCGCTATTCTTGTTGGTGACCACCTTTTTTGGGACCCTGTTTCTATGGTTGAGCCATCCCATTTTTGGATATGCCCACATAGTTATGGTCATGGATCAAACCTCTAGCAGGATTCCCACATCAAGAGAACCGGTGGCATGACCCATCCCCGCGTCCAATGACAATCCCACTATTTGGAGATGATTTGCCCACGTTCGTCTCGATTTGATCTCCCTTTTCGGGTTTTTCCAGTACTTGGTGGTTCATCCCAGGGCAAGTGGCTGTCCCGAACTGCATCAATCCTACTGACCCCAGCCAGGCCTCACAATGAAGCTGGGGACAGCGGAGAGTTCCCGATTCGCAGGTGACTGGGGGCCGGGCCGCCGATTGCGGATGGGCTTGCGCGCGACCCCGATTTGTTTTGGATTTTGTTGGTGGTATTGAATGCTAATCACGTAATTGGAATAATGAGCTATAATTGATAAGATGTTATAACATTATAAGCTTAAACCCTGACAGCTGCCCTTCAATGCTTTCCTTTTGGGTGAATTTCCAGTTGAATGGGGTCACAACCCGGTAACAACTGTTAGGAGGCTGAGCGATGTTTAAAACGAGACCCAGAATGTTACTCCTTTCTGCGCAGTCAGCGGAAGGGGTCAATCAGTTTGAGCCACCGTCAAGTTCGAGCAAGGCACCAAACTTATCCCTCTACCCTCCCTTATCTACTCTCCCTGATAATTTAGAGGTGCTTAGAGTTTGAATGATGAAACTAGGCAAACCGGGCGTCCTAATTTTGAGCCAGAACTGCTCTGAGTCTATCCGAGAATTGGATGATGGGAAAATCTGCAGGAACCACATATTTTTGGCAAAAAAAATGTTTCCCCCAGATGTTGGCAAGGAAGCCAATCCATGGTCGCTTCACTCCGTGTGCTTGGCACGCGTCAGGCTGCACAGATGCTGACATCCTGACAGCTGTCCCACGCATCCGCCGCCGCCACCACGAAGCCAGATTTTACAGAGCAGATCAGAAAAGACGTGTGGGCGCAGCATGTTGGAAACCACGCGCTGGTGGAAATGATGTCTGATGATGATGATGATGATGATGACTGTTCCATGTTTTGTTTGTCCGGATTTTGGAGCTTGTTGGAATACGTTGCCATCACAGCTCGCAGGTGCGGTGGTCCCATATCTATTCACATCCTGGCACACGTGCAGTATGCACAAACATATATATGCTATTCACCGGCCATGGACATCCACAGTCCAACCGCCACTTCCCAACGTTTCAACCCCGCCTTCGCTGCCATGACGGTAGACCGTGACCAGCACGTAGCTATGGCAGCTATGGCCAATGGTGGAGATGACATGTATCGTCTCTCCAAACGAATAACAAGGAAGCTAAGGCATCAAGGAGTGGCCGTCCTTAAGGGGACTGGGGAGGCTGGGAGACTGAGGCCTGAGGCCCGAAAAGGCGGAGAGAGATCCAGTACTAAGCCGGGGGTTTCTGAGTGGTGTTTTTTCTAATTACGATCTTCTGAAGAACTTGGATGATTTGCCACAGGATGTACCCTCCGGGCTGGCAACTCTTGAGTACTGAGGTTGGGCATAGTTCAGCGTTTAAAACCGTTTCTTATAGCCTCTGATTCCAATTTAACATTGGGCCACCTCTAAGGTTTTGGGTATTTGGGGCATCTTTGGAGGTGTTTGAGTTAGATACTAACCCGCCCGAAAACGGAGGTTTTTAAGTTAGTATGGATCAAACTTTAAGGCGCAGGGCACGGCAGATTGGCAGATTGGCTTGTCGTTTTGTTAAACGGCCCGTTTTTCTATCGGAGAAATTGGATCCTTTGACATAGCACTTTAGAACATATCCTTTGAGATCATGGGTGATGGACGATTCCCCTGTTGATGACGTTCCTAGGGAAAATATGCGAATATTCCATTGCTGTGCTGTTTGATGATTGGAAGGGAACAGCCATGATTTGGTTGTAGCCGTGTGAAAGATTGGCATGTGTAAATATGAGTTAAATCTTATTCGAGTTTTTTGTTCCGCCAATTTTCGCACGGGTGTGTCTGAAACCGAGGTCCATACTGTTTATACCCCAGCATATATCATCATATCATAATCACCATCTTCCCGCTCAAGATTGCCATAAACAGGGTAACTTCCAAACTTTCGATTATTTTTGCATATCCCCAAATCATACTGTTCGTGGCCTGTAGAACCCCACACAACCAGAAATACACTGGTGTTTCCCTATGGTAAAAAAAAAACCTACCCAACAAATTGTGGTTTGCGGAAACCATTATTTCTGCTTGTTTGGGGTTCCATGCCCATAAAATGCTTGGTCATCACGCCTCAACTCGAGCAGGAAGGGATCTCCAAATGAGACTCGATGGGTTCGTGGAGATTTCTACGTTGAGCGCTCGAATGGGAGAGCCTCAGGAGCGGGTAGCTTCGGCTCAAAATTATTCCAAGTCCCTGCAACTTGGATGGTTGAGTGCTTTAGCCAACAAGCATAGTGATGGAAAAAACAGGGATTTGACCACCAAGGGCAATTGGTGAATACTGGTTCTGGTTGCAGCTACTTCGATGGTGCCATGTACTACCCCATTCAATACTAGACTGCTAGAAATCACCAAACTCCGATCCTTTCTGTTGGAAACCTTAGCATCTGCGCCCGATGCAGGCGACTGGAAGTCGGTAGCCCCACTTTTTTGGGAGAAAATTCATTCACATCGGGTGATCCATACGTAATTTGTACGCGGCCTACTTCACCTCCAAAAAGCCCACCATGAACGATACGTGGGATTTGGGCAGCCATCAATGCTAATTTTGTCTAAAAAATCAAACAACAGCCAGATTTGTACCAAACACTTGCGCCCAAGAGAGGGTATTTAGCAGCGCTTGGGTGACATGACCCTTGACATGCAACTAGCCAACTACCAGACCAGGCGTGTGCTCCCACAGTCCAGCGTTTTCCATCAAGGTACACTGTACCTACAATTCTCTACCCTGGTTATGTGGACCAACTGTTGATCGAATTATTTGAACCATTCCTACTCACAGGGCTAGGGCATCTATGCATTTGCTGTGCCTTCGGTTTGTCCACAAAAAATGGCCCCCCAACATCCGGTGGTGAGCCATCATTTTCCCGATTTTACCCTTCATTCACTTTTCCATAGAATGCGGGGTAAGACACACCCAGTTCCGAGAGGTTTCCTGATCCAGATGATTTTTCTGAGGTAGAAGCGGCCGGTCATGACAACCGTCGCCTTCAGTGTCTCGGTCTCAAACACGTTTGGCACTGGGCCAGCTGCAGTGATGCCTCTTGAACTTGTATAAAGTTGGACCAGCAGATGGACCGCATGGCACTTGACGCTACCTCAACATGGGACTGGTAAGCTTTCTTTGATGATGCTACACTTGCTGGTGATGATTGCCCATCACCATGCTGGGTGTCAAGAATGGGTCGTGTGGTCAACCCGATGCCAAAAAGTATCCCAATGTCCAACCATTTGGGGGTCATTTTGCATCCTCCCAAATAGGTACCGAAGAATCTCCACAAATTGGGGAGCGCTTATATACATTCTTTATATTCTGCTTGCCACTTCAAAAATAGTTTCATTCCCAAGAGATCTCAAGAGATATTATGTTTGGAAGGCCCATGTTGCTCGGAATCAGGACCCATCGATATGGCACCAGATTGTGGCAACTTGGCAGTCAGGGGAGAAATGGATCAACGAATGGGAGCAAAACTTTGATTTAATCAGAGAGGGTGGGTATAGGTAGATAGATTGACATAGTGCAAAGCAGAGGCACTGTCGCACGCACGCACACACACACACACGGATATACTTATATACATATATATATATATTCACACACATATATATATACACATGTACTTACATAACCATAAATCTAAAATAACATAAATATACATATAATCATAATTATAAATGTAAATATATATAATTATTACATCATTTTATATTATCTTATATTATGTCCAATTTATGTTATATTCAATGTACATTATATTTGATTTATCGAAGGAAGTTTAGAAGTCAAACTTCCGACAATATGGACAGATGAAAAGCAGAGCAGGGAAGAGGCAGAGAGAAGAGAAAGATTAGAAGAAAGAAGAGTAGAAGAGAAAGAGTAAGAAGAAAGAAGATGCAGATGCGTGAAAAGGTAGGAAAGTCGCGAAACACTGTGTTTTTCCAATGATTTGTGGCTCCGGAGGGTCGAAAAGTAGGCTCCGGAGGGTCGATAGATAGATAGATAGATAGATAGATCGATAGATACATAGATAGATAGATAGGTAGATAGATCGATAGATACATAGGTAGATAGATAGGTAGGTAGGTAGATAGTCAGAGAAAGAGAGAGAAAAAAGGAGACATCAATCACCTTTCGATCCATCAGTGGCTTCGCTCTGCCATCCGTGATTCACAACAACGAACCTTTCTTATAGGTTTCCTATCTTTGAAACTTCCGCCACCGCCTTGTGCGGTACTACTGGTATCATATTTATATATATATATTATATCTGTGCGTGTGCGTGCGTGCGTGCGTGTGTGTGTGTGTACCATCTGAACAAATGTAAAACTTCTGATTGGTTTTCACTAATTTGCAGGGGGGTGCAGAGCACAGTGGAGACTGCACCCAACGAAGCTATCCACTTGTGCTGGAAGCAGAGTCTGATCAACTCTGTGTACCTGCAAAATTTGGTTTCAACTGTTGATCAAGCTGTTACACTGCGTTGTTTCGAATCTACACGGTTGCCACAATCTGTATTGCATGCATCAGAACCTTCCTCAGATTTTCGCCGAAACCATATCGCCGACAGTATTATGTTTTTTGACTTATTTTCGCCGAGACCCTGTCGCCGACGAACTATGGGTTATTTTGGGAAACAATCGCCGAAACATTATTTTGGATTTCCACATGCTGGTCAAAACTCTATGGAATCTGGTTATGACTACGTTTGACAATTTCGGATGCCCTACATCGTTTGCGAGAAGTACCTCATGTGGCTCTTTTATTCATCTAATAATCTAGGCTGGTTTGCATGTTTCAGGATTCAGTTCCTGCCGGATCATATAATGATCCATTCTTGTCTAGTGTGATTTCCATGGTGGCTCCGACATGGTGCCATGGAGCCAATTGAGGCAACCCTTTTCAGGGTGAGTGATGACTGTCCGGACTACCGAATTTACGAATTTTAAGTTGGTAATTCATCTAAGTAAACTGCAACAGCCGGCCATACTGTTTTTCCTGCCTTTTGAGTTTGTCCCGCTGATCTTGCGGTCCCAGGGATTCCTCGCCGATGCGTTTCTTCAACTGTGTAGCCGTTCTGAATTGCCAGAAACCTCCGTTTTTGCAGCAACTTTTGCAGCGTCATATTGCATTATTTCACGACCTATGATCAGGCAGGCACACGACTTTCAGGTGTGGTATTCTTTCCTTTTGGTTCTCTGGTGAGGTGAAACATATTGTGCATCTAATTCGTTGGAACTTGAAAGCTGTTTTATGCCATTGCGGCACGACTTGACCACGGTCCCGGTGCAGGGAATAATTGCACGATTTTGTAGGTAGTTAGGGACTGAATCCTGTATGTGAAACTTTTTACAATTGTCCACTTTTGTTTTGACCTACTGAAGCGATGCATCCGTGGAACACTCCAACATCATGGCCTGCTCCACCACAGCCTTCGAACCCATCTTCGACGTGGCCGCAATCGACACCGAGTGCACATTTATTTGGACATCCCTCGGCTTTGCATCCTACATGGTCATCCTCCGCTTCGCTCATGCCGTCTACATCCGCCCCAACATCGTTGCCGTTCACCTCATTGACTTCGGCTCCTCATGCAGTACCTGGTCCACAACTTGTACCCACCATGCCTTCACCTTTGGCTCCTGAACCAACTATGGTACACACCGCTCCGTCGACTTTTCCATCTCCTATGGCACCTACCGCTCCACCCGCGTGGCCTTCCACTTCGGCTCCATCCCCTACATCGACTACACCACCTACATCGACTATGACACCAACTCCTTTGCCCAGTTCTCCATACCCACCTCACCACATTCAACCTCCATTACAGATGGACGCATCGACGATCCCTCCAAATGAGCCTTCACCACGGCCCCCAGCAGTCAAAGCAGCTCCCAGGCATCGCTCTGACAAAAGACCGGATCGACCGCGCAGGCCAGCTCCGAAAACTCCTCCTCACGCTACACCACCGGCACCTGCGACAGCACCGACTTCATCCGTGTCACCTGAACTTGCATCCCTGGGTTCCACCGCACAACAACTGGCTGAATCTGTTCGACTTATCCAAGCTCAGCAACTATTAATCATGGATTCTCAACGGGCACAAGAACAACGTCAACTCCTTCTTCAACAAGATGAACATCCACCGAATCCTACACCACAGATACCACCACCTACACCTACACCACCATTGATCGCCACGCCTCCACCTGCACCAAAGGCCAGACCCACCGAACCGGACGTTCAGGACCATCGCATTGTCCCAGCTCCAACCATCGCTCCTCCTCACCAACCACAAGGTCCACCACCACCAACACGCCGACCACGATCCCGAACTCCAAGATCACGTTCCCATCGACCTTCTGTACATTCTCATCGCCATCGCCATTCTCCTCCACGTGCAGAGCGACCTCGTTCTCCTCTCCCTCGTCATCGCTCATCTACGAAACCCGACAAGAGCCGCAGAACACCATCTCCATACAGACGACGCTCACCACCACGACGCCGCTCTCCTGTGGTCCCTCGACGTCACCGCTCCCATCCACGCCCACGCTCCGCGACACCACGTCACCGATCCCGAGGCCGTGAAGTCATACTTCGACCTGCTGCAAACCCATCCAATCCGAACTACATTCCTACTCCTGATGCTGATGACACCTGGGGTACATGGAACGAAAGCCACTACAACGACGCCTACGACCACCACACTGCTCGACCCAATTCTCCTACTGATCCACCACCATCGGAACCACAAACCAACCCACCAACCCACACTTCAGCACCACTCGGCGCGGTGTCCTTCCGAGTTCCGGACGGCGACAGTGAAAATTCTGAGGTTGCTGATACCATTTCGCTCACCAAGTTTGACACGAATGACATCGACCTCGATGAAATTGTGGCGGCGGCCAATGACCCCCATAGAGTTCGATGCCTGACCGAGCTTGGCCCCGATCATGTTGTTCCTCTACGCCAATCATTGACCCCGGCTATCTTGCAGCTCTTCAACCAGTTTGTGGACGCGATGTTCGAACAATTGGCTAAACCATACCGCACCGTCAACAACCATCGTATTTGGATCAAAGCCAGCCAAGCCACCGTCAGGAATATTGCCAGAGCCTTTGCACAATCCGACTTACTGGACATCGAACTTGCAAAGCAAACACAAGCCTTCTATATTGAACCAGAGAACTTGCTGACCATCACGGTTCCCACAGGATTGAAGAAGAAACCAATCTACCGTGGCGAACACATGGGCACCTACCTGATCTACCACAAGACAAGTTGGGAATCAGTTGCCAAAATTCTTGCTGCAGACTGCATCCGCCCGGCAACTTGGACAAAAAACGAAGCCGGTATACCGACCCAATACCCGTGTTACGGGTTCTTCGGAATGTCCTCTGAGATCGCAGACACCGACAACCTACCCGGCTATGCTGTGAGGATTTGTACCTCTCAGCTTTACAAAATAGGCAAAGGACAAAACCCATCAGGCCTGCTGGCCATATGCCGCTCACCCAAATGCATCCGTGCCCTAGCTGGAGGAAATGACCAAATCCAACGCTTGTGCAACCTTGCGGGCATCGCCAAGGGCAAAGACAATGCAACGGCTATGAACTCAAGCGCTGCATCTATATGCTACGTCGCCTCCACTCACCAGGTTTTCCCGGGCTTGATCACACACCAGACTGCGGAGACCAATGCACCTTCGGAACCTCCTGATGATTCTGCACGTCCAGTACGACCTGACCCTTCTGCCGACGCCCCAGAACCTTCGGAGCCGGCCCCGGACGACTCTCACAATACACCGAGCCGCCGCGAGACTGCTACCTCTGGCTCCCGGGACTATGCTCGCCGATCTTTGCATGACAATGCTGCTTGGGACAATTCCACCTACAGCCGCCGAGATCGCCGATCCTCATATTATGACGACCATTCTCGCGACCAGCACCATGAAGGCCGACCTCGTTCTCGACATTCGACCCACCACTCCAAATCTCGTTGGTGAATTCTTTACCCTTGAGGAGTACCAGAACAAGTATCGACTATTCTA